ACTTCTTGTTGAACTGCTGCTTTGTAAATAGCGGTTTGTCCCGCAGGGCATGCCACAACTAGAGGGTGTACGCAAAACTGAGCTACGAGGCCTTGGGGCAGAAAACTCTTATGCAGATAAATAGACACGACGTCGTTCTACACATGCACCACGTAGTGTGACATAACAAGAAGTCTTATCCTTTGCACCATCTTTGAAGGACTGGTGTACCACCCACAGACGCACCAACGACTTGTTTTGCGGTGCTTGACTTGGCATCATCTCACAGTTCATCAGTCTGTTCCCTGCGTGTTGTTTGTCTGCCATCCCTCCCCCCCTTGCCTCTTACCCCCTTCCCGTGTCACGTCCTTCGGTTCCATAAAGTTAGCACCTTGCAAATAATGGTATGTTCGTTCGGCCCTCATCCCCCCACCCAGAAATGTTTTCGTCTCACACGCAGTCATTGCGTATTCAATCACTGATGGATCAACTCGGGCAGTTTGATTGCCAAGTTTATGATAGACATGCAGCTACACACGTACGGATGCCAAGAAAACGGAGTACGTGTAATGAGCACGGGGGGGGCATCTATCTGTGCATTGCTCACCGGAAGCCGATCATGTACGCCACGCCGTGCTCCATGAACACCCGGCGCGGTCCCTTGTGGGGTTCCAGCCATCAGGCGCGCCCTTCTTCCCGCATCATGGACAAGGAACTCCGTCGACCTTCAGCAGGTCCGCCCACAAATACTCCGGTATCCATGCGATCACGGTCTTGAGATAGTACGGATCAACCTTCGGTAGTCCTGCACCTATCAAAATGGTGAAAGCCAGACCAAACGGCATTTGAAACAGCGTAAGAATTAGCACTGAGGAACAACGCTGCAAGATTAATTTCAATTATTTTTTTGCAAGGGTGTGGTAGAACACAAATTTGTGGAGGACGGCATGTTGTGGGCTCTGCCGGTACGTGGCAGTATGGCAGTACCAAAAACATAAAGACAACTACTGTCTGTACATACCTGTGATTTTCTGCATCGTAGCACACTGGGAGTGATGAAGAGACTGTCGAATGGGAACACACCTGGACCTCCCTTTGGTGCTTTCACACCGCCGGCATGGTGGACGATGTTCTTGTCGATCGTCTTCTTTGGTCGATGAAAGCGAGCTGCGCAGGCGACACCCAGTCGCTGTCATCGGCACCACTTCCCCCCCCCTCCACCTCGGGGGGTCCTGCCCCGCCACCTCCGGCGCCGTGACCTTCAACCGCTCCTCCTCTCGGTTGCTGTTCTCCGCGCACTCCAGCTCCTCCAGTCCCCTCCCCGCGCCCACCCGCTCGCACAGGTTGGCGGCTTCCACGGCCTTGACATACGCCGGTAACTGGTGCTGCTGGTGTTGACGCACTCGCGCCCACTGTCGCCGCCACGACTGCGTCTGCTGCTGCTGCCAGCTCTGCTGCTGTTGCTACCCCTCCAGCTCCTTGTTGCGGCGGCGGTGGTGGTGGGGCTGCTGCTCCCCCTTGCGAAGAAGCATGGCGAGCTTTCCCTTCCCTTTACTCGACCCTCGCGGTTGTTGTTGAGGTGGTGCTGCGGGTCGTGGCGCTCCTTCATGACCCGGTCCGCTGCTGCTGCAGTTGGGCGATCCACCAGCAGCGTTTCTGGCATCTGTGCTGCTCTCCCCGACGCCCTGACCTTCATTTGAACTCACATTGTTTCCTTCCCCACCCTGAGCACCACCTACTCGTGGGCGCTTCGAGGTCGACCCTCCTGACAGCCACGACTGCATGCCTCGCGCCTGCTGTGCGATGTCTCTTGCAGCTGCTGTCTTTTCTGATTGTGTCCTCGCGCCGGGTCTTTTGGACCCGGGTCCGGGCCTCGACCCTTCGTTGCGGCCCATGGCGGTGGGTGCTGCTCCCACGGGGGTGGGTGGTATGCGCGTGGGTTCGCGTGGCGCGTAGGTGAGCTTGCGGTAGCATTGCTGCAGTACAGCAGTGCAGTCGGCACAAAAAGCGCGGGTCAACCACCTCGTGCTACCCTAACACGCCAATCACGAGCTGTCGTTTTTAAGTCGTTTTTAAGAATCAGCCCGGAAGACCTGCTTTGGACCAATGGAATTGCGTCGTTTTTAAGAAATCATCCCATCCCCACCCATGGTCCCTGTTCCGTCAGTAGGGCGTGTTCTGGGGGTTTCGCGGTTTCAATCGACGACGCCCCCAACGTAGGACATGCTAACAGTCCCGGCACCAGACCGCAAGCCCAAGACCCAACACCAAGACGCACTTGCGCTGACTCTTTCGCCACCAGTTGCGAGATAGACTTCCCATGTTCGGTACTGCCCTAGTTCCGTCAAACGCAGGATTGACTGTGGGCAGTTAGACGAGGGTCGTCCGCAAGGCTAATGAAGGAAAACGCGGCTGGTGGCAATCAATGGGGTATCTCGGACCCTCCTCATAGCAGTCCCGCGACCGTGTCATGGAAGAACCGCGTGACCGTAACCGGCGCCCTGCTGCTGGTAACCTGTAGCACGTGTGTGCTGCTGCTTGGCTCCAGAGGTGAGCGCGCGCAAGAGTGCTTGAGCTTGCACGGTTGCTTTGCCCCGAAGACCTTTCGCGTTGCAGGGCCGGGGCTGGGTTTATCCGATGAGTGACAGAGGTGGTTCTGGACAGGATGGGACGAGGCATGGAGTCAAGAATAAGAACCGACAAGTTGCCGTTGTTGCATACTCATGGTATATGATATTGACTTTTCTTCACATAAAAAACCGGTCCGATCTCTGTATCCAGCAGTGTATTGTGCATGCAGACCATGCCTATCTTGTGTGCCCCTGGATGGTTGTACATCGTTGCACGAAATACACTGAAAAGTACTCCACATGAGACACGAAAGGTGTGCACAAGTACACGCCTCACCACGAAAATGGTGGGAATGTCGCCAAAATATGTAGGAGGAAAACACATTTTCTCTGATGTGGGCAGATGTCCTTTCCGCACCAATGATGAAATGCCTACTGCTGTAAGAACCACATGGAAAGTACCGCGGCGGGTTCACGAATGTCCTTCAACATTTGGTCACCCAGGTCCCGCGTGCGAAAAGACAACGCACGGTTCAGGCTGGTAGTGCGATTACCACATTAGGTCGACCCGTTGATGTTCCTTCTTGTACAAGTGTTCTGTGACGCCTGTGTGCGTTTCCCTGACTCTTACATTGTTGAACTTAATATTTGAATAGAAACAAACTCCTCTAAGGCCTTCCGTAAGGGGGTGCAGCAGACGAATTTTGAGGTTGACTAATTTTGAAATCAAACGCAAGAGCACCATAAATTGCACAACAGACACACCAGACCAGTAGGAAGGCACCGCGAAAAACAGCAATCGTTGATTCTCGCACAGGGCGGCAGTAGAGGCTGCTCAGAACATACATTTCACGCGTCTACCTCCACACGCCTCCTTTGAAATCAAGATAAAAATTCGCACCATTGTAAATTCTGGTCAAGAGAGCCGAAACGGAAGGCGTTCAAACAAGGTCGATTTTGAGGGTTAGGTGTCGCATTTTATTGCCATCAATGGAGGACATCATGAAGATGTGTCGTGCGTGCTGGCACGTTCAGGTTTGCTGCTGGAGCTGAAACATCAAAGGTCGCCGCGGCCTCTGAAAACTGTCCGAAATCTGCGGCGGAACCAAGCGGCATCCAACATTTGTCACAGCCGTGCTCACCGCCACGGACCGTAAACCCCTGAACCACGGTCGTCAGCAGTAGCTAGTGTCAGCTACTGTGTAAACCCGCAGTTCAGGAGATTGGGGTCAGTGGCGGCGAGCACGGCTGTGATAAATGATGGATGCCGCTTGGTTCCGCCGCAGATTTCGGGACAGTTTTCAGAGGCTGCTGCGACCTTCGATTTTTCAGCTCCAGTAGCAAACCTGAACGTGCCAGCACGCACGACGCCTCTTCATGGTGTCGTCTACTGATGGACTATAGAATCCGACACCAAACCCTTGTGGGAAGGTTTTGTTCTTTCTTCGTATAGATTAAAGTAGAGAAAAAGACCCAGCGTCACAACCCCTTTTCTGCACCCCCTTAACCCTCCTAGCACTGGAAGCCCAGATGGGGACACTTTGGGGACACGACACTCAAATTGCCTATGTACTGCACCACAGTCACCCTGGACTCCGCTGTGTGAAACGCACGTTAGAACCCTTGGTCTGTCATGCTTGGCTGAGGTGGTACGCTATGTGATGCTATGATACGCTGTGTGAAACCTCTCCTCGGCCTCCGACTTGCTGTACACCATCTCCCAAGCCTCGTGTCCCCTAGTCCGTAAAACTGTACATCGCCTGGTACTGGAAAATAATGCTGATTTGGCTATGGCATGAAAAGTGTCCCCACGTGTTTAGGGACCACTTTTCATAGTAAAGCCAAGTCACCCGTTGTCTAGCAAGGAGCTCCGATTCTTTGGAGGGACTGTAGCCCGTCGAATAACGACTGACAAACATTTTCGCGGCATTCGTTTTTTGCGGAGGGACTGGGTACTAGGAGGGTTAACCCCCGCAGACCGATCCAGACAATGTGCCCAATGTGTAGGCTGACGTCCACATAAGCGGCAAAACGTACACACGTATTCACGCCATCGCGATGGCCGAGAAGGATCTTGTGCGACTACGACGTGTCCCAAAGAAGGACTGCGAAAATCTTCTCGCTTTTATTGGCGCTGTCGACCGCCAGCCTCGTCCTGCCAAGGTGTTTTTCAATGTTATGCACACGACATGCTACTCCTCAGTTCTCCAGCGAGAGCGTGTGTAAGGTGGTGGCACTGCTATTGCCGCAATTTGCAACTGAGTCCAGCAAACACGGGAAACATGCGAAAAGCAAAGAACTATGCATGTGATGTCTCCCAATCACCGATATTGCCTGGTCGCGGCTGCACGCCAGTTGATTCTGCCCCTCTCTGCTTCCCCCGGCGAAACCTCGATCCTTCGTACGTGGACATGGCAACGTCATCATACAACGCACGGACCTTTTGCTTCGATGGACACGCAAGGGGGGCTAAACGTGGGGCAACAGCAGTCGGAACAACCGGCAAGCAGAAGAAAACAACAAACGATCCTCGTTGCAGGGGGGAGCCGTGGCCCGCGCCCCCCCTCGAATGTGAGTTAGGCTCGCCGTTTGTCTCTGTGAAGCGTCGCTCTTAGGCTGACTCTTATGGCTCCCGAAAGTTGGCCCGACGGATTTTTTTGGACGGGCATACCCCCCCCCCCCTGATTTCGACCAAAAAATACACCTCTCACCACATCACCACAAAATTCTCCCTCCATGATTGTCCGGTTGTCACCAGAACTTGAAAGCTGTACCCCCCACACCTGTAG